ACAAGAAACCTGACACGTTCTTAAATGACCATACTATATGATAGGTGTTATTAGGACGTAAGATATGAACAACATTATAATGTAATGTAGATATCACTAGTTTCGTGCTATCCTTCTGGTAGAGTTTAATGTTAATATATCTATATAACATTATACAGGTTTTACGTATACAGGTATACTTCCGATAAGATACCCCAGTTCGTTGTATGTCGATAACACCTTGCTGTTTTTTAAGAGTGTTACTATGTGATACTGTGTTATCTTTAATCTGTATGTAAGCATAGGGAAGTTCCTGACTAAGATTTCATGCACGAAGTCACTTAATTCATATAAAGAACATTCTTTGGACGTTATACTAGTCTCAAAACCATCAACCTAACAAGGCGCTATTTTACAACAGGACATCATTCGTTTAAATTTTACTGCTTAATGACTGGTTAGTTTGACAATATGTCGAATGTGCGGACGATCTTGACTTTTTGCGATATAGCGACATTCATAGTACGTATACGTCTCCATGCATTCTGTAGAAAACACCTAAAACTACGAAGGACCTCAAAATTGTCAAGTTTGTGTGTAAAATGGTGACGTGTTCCCCTCACTGATTATAGATAAATATGGCATACCATTATTTGTCTATTTAGACAATCTGCAAACGAAGACTTCCTAAGGACTCTTTCGGGAAACATGTTGCAGCAGAAAAACTAGGAAGTAAAGAGGACTACCATGAATTTCTCTTGGAAAGTGCCAAATTTATCAGAAGTGCTGCTTATGTGTTCTTATCAAATGATAATCCACCCTGACTTTAGATATATACTGTACCAGTGTGCCAACAAAAGTAAAATGATTTTACTCATGCATTCGAGGAAGAACTGTATCAAAATAATGCTATAGACTCAACACGTTCAAATTAATTTGATGTAAATAACTCTTTCTTTTTGTAAATCTCTTAACAGAGGAATAAACGATTTGATTGATTGATTGATTGATTGAACCCTAAAAGTGAGCCAAAGCTGTCAACTCTGCCTTGTTTAGTTTATTTATTTATTTCCTTTCTGCCGATCACATGGACAGAAGCGGATTTTTCCTACATCCTCATTAGTTGGATCATAATCACGTGCAGGTCGCGCGGATCGGTGATTTGTGATATTGAGTCGGTCCTACTGTTTTTAGACACAGCAGGTTAATATTCAATTGATGACGTCACTTCAATTGTAACGTCACAATGCTCCTACTTTCTCCCAACAAATTTCGTACGTTAAATCTTTTTAAAGATTTAAACATTATTGACTTCGTCTCGGTGAGTATCACATTTTCAGGTTCATATAGTCATATATCCACCTCAGCGAAAGTCAGTTATTGATAATTATATTCCCTTAATATCGTACATAATATCCAAACATAAACGATGTAATTTATTACATGTGTTATTGCTCTAGTCTAAGTCACAGGGACCTGATAATTTGTTACAACTATATTTGGACCAAAACTAAGTTGTTTAGAGAAATTGTACACGTAACAATATATCATCATCACTGGGGTGCCGATATTTACCGGAAACTTATCACAACCCCTAGTCCAAACGTGTAAAAATACTCTAAACACCTAAGGTCAGGTCCAAATATAGCTGTAACAAATTATCAGGTCCCTGTGGTCTAGGTGACACATCAGCAGTACTTACACGTGCTATTGAAAATAAATGATGATTTCCGTTGCATGTGCTTGAACCGATTGGCGTACCCTTTTAAAACATATATCAATGGTGATAGACTTAATGAAACCTATAACTTAACGATATTTCTAAACATTTTCTTCAGGTTGGTAAGTATGGATTATGAGAAGTTCTTTTTACACAACCAATACATTTTTCTATGTGACGTTTCGATGACGAGTAACGATGTTTTAAGAGGAAGTGGCACATCTCTTCACGCAGCTATTTGTATGAATACAGTAAAATATCAGACATTGCCGATGTTAGTCAAATTAAAAGGAGAGAAACATAGCAAAGTTAACATCATCCTATAGTTTGGCTGTTATTCAGTGTAATAACACCATATCAATATTGGATATGAAACCACGTACTGTGACGTCACAATGGATACTATGATGACGTCACAGATAGAAATCTAGGAGAAAACGTTTCAACCATTGGTCTTTTCTATAGCAGATTTCATTCAAACTTAAAAATGAATTTAAAATATCTATACATTCTGGGTTATATCCAGAAGAAAGGACAGAGAGGAAGTTATTTATTCTTCGAAACGTTTTTACGTTGCGTAAGTAAACATTACGAACTTACCAGTGGCTGTCTTCAGGTACATGTAAAATGGGCAGAAAAACAAACCTTTGTTATGCAGTAAAAAATAAAGTGTCTAGGCTACCCCCGCAACAAACCTCAACTGGTCCAGAGCCTTGTCCGCCATTTAGGATTACTACAAATATTAAAAGTTGAAAGCGACAGTAACGTTGACTGACGGCATACCTAATACTTATGTATATACTGTGTTGGTGTGACACTGTCGTAGCGTGGAGTAAATATGTAGTTTATAACCTATTTCTGTAGTGACGATCTGGGTAGGGAAAGGTAGTTGTGAAATACAAACTTCAGTGGTAGTTTACGTTATGGTTACCCGACCGTAACTGGGTCACTGATGTTAACATATCTTTTGATAGGTATGCGCCTTTTAGTCTCCTTTCTTTATTTCACGTTACAGGAAGCGGCCAGAGAATTTGTTACTGCTATATATAGACTAGACTGGCCCCTAAGTTTTTATGAAGAATTTCTCGACTGCATTTTACTACTAGCTTATCTCCCCCTAGTTTAGAACTAGAATCAGACATCCAAGTGATCAACATTATTAGAGTTGTTTTTTTCCCAATTATTTAATATTCTAGAGACGGTGACCAGTCTATATAAAGACCTTAACTGAAGTGTTTAGAGTAATTTTAATGTTTTAGGGTTTTAGATCAATTTTCGTTCAAAATGGTGATTGGTTTTGTTTTGTTTTACGTCCTATTAACAGGTATGATAATTTTAAGGACGTGCAAGGTTTTGGTGGTAGAGGAAAGCCGGAGTTCCCGGAGTACCTGGCGACTGCCCCACGAAGGCCTCGAACCCACGACCAAGTGGTGGAGGGCATGTGGTAGCAGAATGTCAGACGCCTTAACCGCTACGCCACCGCGTTGATTCATTACGGAAACCTGATTTAAACCTCTAAAAACTGTGTACTAAGATTTTATGAAGGCGTTCGACACAGTATAATCTGTCGCCCGAAATTATAAGCTGGATACAATGTTCATATCAAATAGGAAACAGAAAGTATCAGTTAATGGCGATATATCGAAATGGGTGGATGTTACCAGTGGAATCCCTCAGGGCTGTGTCCTTGGCCCGTCATTATTTGTACCAAGTTATCATGTTCCTGTGATTCACGATACAGGGCAAGCCATCCTTTCTCAGACTAAACGAAACGCATTTTTCATCCCCTTTTTCGTTTGGGTAAATAGAGTACTGACTGACTCCTGAAAGTGGTCACTGGTCGAAGGTGCAGTTACTATGACGACAGTGACACGTCATCAGTTGTTCTGTACTACAGACAATATTTGCTGACGTAATCATTTGTCTTCCACATACTTAGTTATGAAGGTAAAACATATTGGGGTCCCAGTTTTAAGTACTGAATGGGTGTTTACAGACACTTCCATTTTACATTGCATCATGGGAGAGGCGGAAAGTTTCGAGAGACTAAAAGCCGATGACATTGAATTGCCTACGTCAAGGTTTTCCGGTTTTTCTGATCAGTCGATTTCCGATTGTCTGATGGTTTACAATATATGTGTTTAATAACATATATGTCTCTAAGCCAATTAACGATAGAAGTGGTATACTTTCAAACACATATCACAGTTTGATTAAGACACGTTCACACTGAAGTTTGAAATGTTCAGTGTCTGCGTTGCTTGTTTCTAGATTCATTCTCTTTTAAATACTACACGTAATTTATGTAAGGAACTGTAGATTTTCGTCTTTATGAAGACTCGTTTTGATGTTTGTGTGTGTTTAACGTCATATTACCAGTTGGTAATTTAAGGACGTGCCAGGTTTTGGTGATGGAGGTAAGCCGGAGTGCCCGGAGAAAAACCACCGGACCTACGACTAGTACCTGGTGACTGCCTCACGTAGGCCTTGAACCCGCGACCGAGGGGTGGCGATTGAGGACGTTTATATAATTAGGCGCCATAATTATAACCTCTCAGGCGCCATAATTATAACCTCTCAGGCGCAGCGACCACCTCTTTTTATAAAGATTTCTACAACGTCATACACCTATGTGACTATATAAAACCGGTATTCTGTTATAACTAAAGGAGCTGTGAGGCAGTGGTATAACATTTGAATTTATGACGCAATACACTTCCGATATATATCCCGAAGTGCAATTGATGTCAGTTTCGTCTGAAAAGTTATCTACATTTGAGTTTGACATTTGTCCAAAACGCTTGGTCTATTGAGTGACGTGTTATCGCATTCTTCACAATCAGTGACATAGAATGAAACTTGATAGCCCTTGAAACAATGAAGTATATATCTTTGTGTTTGTTTCCTGACTGGAAAAAGCTACTCAAGTGTACATAGTTAAAGTATCTTTTGTAACTTTTAATGCTATTATGCATTTCAACCCTTGGCGAGGGAAACAAAGGATCATGTTTCTTTATGACAAAGGGTAAGTACATAGTTTATTACAATAAAACAACAGAAAGGAGCACTATACGTCCGTGTCCTGTTGTCTACTTCCCGTCAATCGGGAACTAGGTGTGATGGATCTTGCTCATTGTTATGAACCTCCGAGTGAGGAAACTTAACCGGGAAACATAACCGGGAAACTCGAGCGCGAGAGGTAACGCGGGGTTTATTTCCCCGTTATGTGATCACTACAACCTGATATAACATACGCTATTTTGTAGATGGGGTAAACTTATTATTTTCTCTTCCTTACTAGATAAAACGTCACCAGCGTCTTCTGGACAGGAGCAGTACAAAGGTATGTGCAAGCACGTGGGCGGGCAAGGTCAAACTGATAGATGCTCTGTCTCTTGATTCCCTGTTACCTTATTCATACTCATATTGGGTCTTACAAAAAAACATCTTCACTTGTGACTAAATTACTCATTTATACAAAATATGTAGTTCTGTGTGTTTCCACTATTATCCTCAGAAACAAGGGTTGGGGTAGGCATTGTTTTTTTTTATTTTGGAAAATATTTTTACTATGCTTATATAGAGCAGGAGTTCTGACTTTAACAGTGCCTATTACTAAATGCCAATAAACACTTTAGGATAGACACAAAAATCTAGGGTAGGTAGGATTTGCGGAAACACAAATTTTAATTTGACCTAAAGGTTCAGAGACATGGCTATCATAATCAAAGGTCTGCAGCTTATGTCAGGGACAAACTTAAAATAGGTATTTTGAAAAGAATAGGCGAGTAGATATGGAAGCAACAAACAGCTTAGGTGTGGCAGACATACTGGTATAACTGCCACGTGTAACAGACAAACTGCTTAGGTGTGACAGACATACTGGTATAACTGCCACGTGTAACAGACAAACTGCTTAGGTGTGACAGACATACTGGTATAACTGCCACGTGTAACAGACAAACTGCTTAGTTGTGGCAGACATACTGGTATAACTGACACGTGTAACAGACACACCGAATGGTGCGTAGTTCTGCGACATCTATTTTTGTTCTATTTTCGTTGTTTTGTTTTAAATAAAATGGATTATTGCTTTTCTATACAATTCAAAATCTGCCGTTGTTATCGGCGAGGCAAGGTCATTAACTAGAACAGCAGCAGATAAACAGATGACGTCCCGCCCTGCTTCCCGAATTATTTCGAAGGATAGAACAAAGCTATAATTTCATATTCATTTGAAGATTTCAAAATAAAAATAAATAATCTTTGAAATTAATAGAATACTGATGTTAAAGAAAAGTCGATTAAAGTGTCGAGGATATTTCGGATAACTGGTTTTCGAGCGCGGAGCAGTAGTGCTACGACTGACAGACTACGTATTCATACTGTAAATAGCAGTTGCATTCATGCTCTCATAAATGAACCTCCACATAGAAAGGCTATATAATGGTATCGCCACTCCTAATGGAAATATATGTCGGGGTACTGTCTTTCTATGTGCAGTATCAGGGGATGATCTTTTTGAATTCCAGGACATGTTAATTTTGTTTTGTTTTAATGAGTACGACACTTTACCTGATTCAAATTAACCCTATTATATAGTTAATGGGTTGAGATGTGAATAATTCTTAGTTTCCGACAATTGTGCTTCGGGGAAGGTGATGCATGTCGGGGTTTTGTTATATTTCTTATCTTCTTTCTCGATCATATATTTAATTTCTTTGGTCTCTTTTATCATGAAATGTATCATCAACTATAATCTGTTTCTATTCACTTTCTATACTTAGTGTGTTCTCTATAATACATATCTTCTGGCGAAGAGAATGAATGCGTTATTTACACATAGAAGTGTTGAATGTTTGATAAAATGTTATGAATTACACATTGATTAATCGGCATTTTAAAAAAAAATCATACCGGCATGAACTTTGAAAAAAATACCGTTCACTCCTTATATTTACATTATACATTTTTAGTTACTATTTTAATTTACCCAAATACAGATATTTCCTTTTATCACACACCTGTTGAATCTTGTTATAGTAATACATGAAATTTTCAGACCATGAAATACAACGTTCTGTATTGCACATCTGCAATACGGAATGTTGTATTTACCTACTAGCCAGAAATATTTTTTATGGGAATCCCCTTGTCATGGCGAAATGAAAAGTTTCCGGTATTTGCAAAAAAATATCAAAGTTTATAAAATCTTTGTATCGATCTCTACCAAATACGGAAGGTATGTGATAAAAGCAATACCACACACTTGTGTTTTTCTAACAAATCAGAAAGCACTCATTTATTGCGCGAACGTATATATTCGTCCGCGCAATAAACTCGTACTTTCTGATTCGTTAGAAAAACACAAGTGTGAGGTCTTGCATGTTTCGTCAGTGCAAACATGATTCCTTGAACAGCCTAACGTCACCAAAATGTTTGCTACTTACGGTTATCTGATGTATCGAAGCGGGAGAAGAAGCTTCAAAATGGCACTGATCGAATTGCGTTTATAGCTCTATAAATAGATACATAGTTTTATTCTGACAAAATTAGGATTTAACAATCCTTTAACAGTCAGCTCTGAAATAAAAAACAATTAAATAAAAACATATTTCAAAAGTTGCGACGTTTAGATTTCAATTTTTTAAAACTGGATTTCTGCGCTTGGTTTTGCTAGTGTTCATCTACTTTATATTCAAATTGTTTAACTGTGCTTGAATTCACAACATTTGACGGAAGATTGTTCCATAAATCAACAGTTCTAAAATATTTTCGTAAATTTTAAAGTTGTGTCCACGTGTAGATGAACTTTCCCTGATACTAAATATGTCGAATACTTCAAGGTCATATTTCCCCAACAATATTTTGTAAATCTCTATCATGTCGGCACGTGATCTTCTATATGCATGTGTTGGTATTTTTAGTTTTTCTAATCGCTCCTTATAGTATAAGACTTTCAGGCCAGGTACCTGCTTCGTTACTCGACGTTGAACATTTTCTATTGCATTACTGAGATTTTCGAGATGAGGACACCAAACCTGATTCGCGTATTCAATGTGTGGTCTAACTAAAGATGTGTGTAGTAACCTAAAACTCTCATAGTTCATATATTGGAGTGAAAATATATCCTGTTGTAAAATGTTACAATCGTATTTATCATTGATTGCCCTAAATGCTTTCGTATCATCCGCGAAAAGGAATGTATGAGCCCCAGGACTTGTTACATCAGGCATGTCGTTTATATAAATTTACAAATAAAAATGGTCCTAAAACCGACCCTGGTGGTATGCCTCCTATTACATGGTTCCACTCCGACTTTCTCCATTCACGACGACCTTTTTTCTCTTTCAAGTGAAAAATCAGCTATCCAAGAAGAAAACCTCCCCGATATTCTATAAGTTGCTAGTTTTATGGATTAAGTGTTGATTGTAAACTTTATCAAATGCTTTCATAAAATCACAATAAATAACATCGATACATCCTTCTTTATCCAAACTTTCTGTCCGCGATAACCTTTAGATGTTGTAACACCGTAGATCTGCCTTCAATGAACCCCTACTGTGCTTTACTGAGAAGTTCCTCCCTAATTATTGATTCTATTACTGTATGAATGCAATGTTCCGGTAATGGTTATTGAGGAATTTGCAGTTGAAATGTAAATAACATATTAAAGAAAAGACAAATTCTAGAAACAACAACAACAAAACAGAAGTTGAGGTGTATTGACTGCACTAACGTACCAAAAATAGCGCATAATGGAATGCGGAGAAATATTGTGCTCGATAAATACTTTGACAAGGAGGAAACACACATATCACATTTTAATATTTACATTCAGTATTTGATTACTGTTATCCCACGGAAGTAAGCATGACAACACACCATGATAAAGTATCTCGTACTAATACAGGAAATAGTCAGCGGGTTAAGATGGTGTCACAGGGGTGATGCTCACTGCTTCTAGGGTCCTATTGGAGTAAATCATCACTCCGTTACACAGGACGCTGTTGACTACTTCTAAAGTTCTTCTCCCAACATTGTAGGACCATATTAAAAGTTTCACGAGTCCTTTTGAAGTTAACATCCTCTCAAACTTAAAAGGTGACGTTGACCAATGTCTGAGCAGTATTGGAGTAAACTCCCTCTGTTGTATGAGTTGCAGATTAATATTTCGCGGGTTCTATTAAAGTAAACCATATTCCCGTTTTATAAGGATTTTGACTGCTTTCGAGCTCAATTGTCAAATACCATACTCCTTGTTTATACGGTGGTGTTGACAGTGTTACGAGTTCTATATTTGTATGTTAGAGTCGGCAATCTCCCCACTTTATATTGACATTTCTTTAGATCACTAGTTTTTCGCAAGACATGCAATTTTGCGATATTTTACAATTTGATATTGATCACAATTTTTTTCTCAAAAATAATTGACAGTGATCCATGAATTTATTAACGAAGTGAAATTCTCGAGAGAAAAAAAAGTTTGTATTTCACCCGAGAAATTTAGTGATAGCAGTTCATAACAACATCATGTATGGTTGTGGTTTCTCATACCATCATACAAATCAATAAAATCGATTTTAAAAATAAAGTTAATGTTTTACATGTAATACGAATTGCGAAACACGTTTTATGAACCTATACTTATCATTTGAAACGAATTGATCCATATACCCTGGTACAGTCAATATCAATAAATATATCACTATCAATATCGTCAATTTACCACGTGAGTTTTGCATGACTTTTAGTAATTTACCAGGTCAGCAATATATATTAAACAGTGTTGTCTATTATAATTTAACACACAAATGAGTATTGATCTAACTACCCTGGTAGTTGTGTGATGATGGTGTCAATGTATTTGTGTAACGCTGTCAAGTATATTTGTCAGGTAGTTAAATCAATCAGAGTTGTCTGATAATCTTGTCTAAATCTTGTGGAAATACAAATAGAGACAAGGTGAGTATGTTTTGTTTACCTAGAAGGTTCTCCCTCTGGCCTATCTACGGTATAACCCTATATTTACCATTTTATGATGGAATGCCCATTATACTCTGAAATTAGGTCAAAATATTTATACAGGAGATACTTTATCCGACCAAATATTAACTTATTTCATCGGAGAACAAAATCATAATTAAAAAAAATAGCATTGTATACTTATAAAGCAACTAAAATTAGAAACGGAGTATAATTAAATTGAAGTTTTATTACAATATGTCAGTGTGTCCTTGGCTCACAGTGATGTAACACTTCTTTATATGCTGTTGTTATCATGTGAAAATAATATGTACAGATGGTTTTTGATAATAATAATTCGAGGTTCTTATATACCGCTTTATCACAACCTAGTTTGTAAGCCGTCTCATAGCGGTTCACAAATTATTATCCTTGGTTATTATAGGGCCTGCAACCAGCCAATATCTTTCTCATCTCCCTGGGGACACACACCCGGTGCTGCTAGGTTGCTTGTTGTAAACTCGTCAGAACTTATTGTGTACCACTACCATATCACAAATATTGTGAATGTATGTAGCACAAGGACAGTAATGTATGTAGCACAAGGACAGTAATGTGTATTGCAGGAAATAAAGACATATATACGTGTACTCGCCAAATAGTGATTAACAATGCCTTTTGTGTTTTGTAGTTACTAAGCAACACAATTACGACGAAGTCGACCTTGACCAAGCTTCGACGGAACCAAACTGGGAAGGTGAGGTGGTCGTTGATGTCAAAAGCAATCACTATGGACAACATGATCGAGTTATAAGATGACTAACGATAGGGAAGGAAACACGTCCACAAAACATCTCCCAATCTGATACCATCACTGAGATGTCCTTTTAGTATAGTCTATGTTTAGGACAATGACGAGACGTTTCTTGTTTCTTGATGATACCGGCAGTGATCAAGTAAAATCTCGTGGCGTGTCCAAGTCTTTACGTCCGAACAGAATGTAATGTTCATTGTAGTTGTGATTTTTTTTATGAATATTCAAGTTCTGATAGAAAAAATCTCGTTATAGAGCCCTTTTTCTGACATTTTCTCGCCTCTTCTAATTCAAGGTCTGTTAGGAACACATAATGTTGTTGACTAATGTTTGAATCCATGCATAAAGAGAACTCAACGTTGCATAAACAAAAAGTGGGGGCTCCCCAAGGGCATTTCGTTCACAGCACTATTCTGTTCGAGCGGTTCAACAGATTGTCACCATATGTGGTTTGAAATTTATCTGTAGAATCAGATGTAATACACAGGTAATAAAGTCATAGGTCTGTACTAGAGTTGTACTCGAGACGTAGTAGAGCTGTCCAAGGTCTGTACTAGAGTTGTCCTAGGTCTGTACTAGAGCTGTCCAAGGTCCGTACTAGAGTTGTTCTAGGTCTGTACTAGAGTTGTCCTAGGTCTG